GACTTTCTTCGTAAGGGGTTTTGATCCTTCCTGCATAACTAATCCAGCGGGGATTCCGCTATACGAATTTCACTTAAACGGTGAAATCTAATTACCCCGTATTAATTCGATGCACAAAATAAAACCAGTTTATATGAGCGGGCGAGTTAAAAATGCCCCATCAATCCTCCACGAGCCAGGTAACCCGCTATACGCAACGTTGCGGAACAAATAAATTCGTTGTACTCTAACAGAACAAACAGTTTTGTAGAGGTAAACCCGGCGAATTTAAAAGATCCAAAAAGTTTCGTCGAATGGCATAACATTAATGAAATCACCATAAATACGTTGCGAAACAAGGGGGTTTTAACTCGCTTTCCGAACGCACCCACACACGCCAGATACAAATTCGCAGACGATTTACTTGGCATCAGCGCCAAAGCGGCGTGTACACGTCAGGTCCGAATTTACAATCGCATAATCCGAATCGGTGGCGGTTAATAGAACCGAAATTTCCCATCCCGAATCCCGAGGAAAGTTGAAATTTCGAAAGCTATTAAGGTAAACAATTTAATCATGTCTTCCTTCTAGTTCGGCGTTAGGCGGGATTTCAAATATTTACACGGGGGTTTTAGTTATTCTCGGTCGCTCGCTCTCGCCTACACCGACGCGCCTATATAGTATTCTCCCGTCCTTTTTTAGTCGCCCTTTCGGCCTCTCGCCCGCCCAACCCCTTTGATATAATTCCGTTACCGTACATGAAACACGATAATTTAATCCGGATTCTACCAAGTTAAATTAGATTCGGGCGAGTTGAATGAGACCACCGCAACGTTCTCGATCTTAGAAAAGCGCCGCGTTATCGCCCAAAGATTTGCGACCGAGAGAAATTCTCCAGAGTTTTTCTTATAGTATATACGTGCATGCACAGTTTTTCCCGAATCCGGGGATATGGAATTTATTGCGTTTACGGCTCGCAGATAATACTATCGAGCGTTAGTTTACTGTTTCCTTAAAAAAGTTTCGAGTATGAATTGAAATAACACATGCAAGAGTTTTAATTAACAATTTTTATTAACAATTCTAGAGATTTATTTAATATCTTCTATACTTACAGGGTGGACATATTTGTGATTTTCTTTAGTAAAATCATAATTCGAGTGAAAATCCATAATATGTCCCAATGGATATAAACTGTATACTAAACGATTTGATAGATACGAGCCATAAAAATAGGATCTTCTCTCCATACCGGGCGTTCGAAGGATATTTATGTGTACGGCCATTGTATTCCACAAGACAATCACCAGTGAATCATTCAGAAAGCGAGCTATTTATCCGATAAATGGCACATAAATTCCACATCAAACCGAAAATGGAATTCACTAAAAGCGATTCTTCTGCTGACATATCTTTTCATATTCCCCGACGATTTACTATATATAGGGGAGACCGTATTCCGAACAAATCAAATATAAATTGGCCCTTTTTATTTTAGGCTATTTATATGGCAACTGACTGCCAGCTATTATTCGTCCCGCCGCAACGGAATTATCCCCGAAATTTTCATTACAAATAAATTTTATATTGCACCCCCCATCATACCTCAAAAAAAACCCAAATAAATTTCCCATATACCAAGGAAACGTTGCATTTAATCGTACACATGCATTCTAAAAAAAGGTATATAGTTCATTCATTATAGCGCCACAATGACGTCACACGGGACAATTGTTGAAATACTCGCGTTATCCATTAGAATCGCGTTCCAGGACGACGGTTATTTCCGCGGGGCGACTTCCACTCGACCCGCTGACCGACACACAAGCGTTAGGGGCAGGGAGAAACTTTACAATCAAAGTTTAAGTCGGAGAACCGGACCAAACTTTAACGGTTCCCTAAATGGCGGATATTGCGGAAAACTTTATTGCTGCAATTTGCAATAAGGCTCATCCAGACGGTTTAATGTTCCTCCGGGGGCATATCCTTGCTCTGTATATATATAGCGGCGTGTGGAGGGAGATCGCGCGCCGCCCCCCTCGTGAATTAATGCTCGGATTGCGTGTCGGTTGTACCGGCAAAGAAATTACTCCAAGTCAATAGGAAAATCGAAGGTTTCGAAAAAAAAAAATTGTTTCGTCCCCACAGGTGTTCAGTCGTAAGTATTCATTACCATCGGGATTATTGGATTATTCCTGGCATTTGGATCCCCCTTTTATTTATCCAAAAAAAATGCCCATCAATATAACCTTTATAAGCCATATATCCACGTTTTTTTTAAGCATATATCTGATAAATTATCCAATTAATTCTAGCAGTAGTAGTACACACAACTTTTTATATACCTATCAGTGTATATTATCTAATTAAGTAGATAAATTCTAAACGATGCATCTAATCTATAACTAATCCGTATCGAATAATCAAACAATTTTTGCCCCATCCTATTGGATTAACAAAGCTTATTATTAATAGATTAAAATCCTCCCGATTATGCAAACACGTATTTGAAACGGGGAATCGTTTGTTTGCATACGACGCGCATTTAATTAGTATTGCGGAATAGCCATAATTCCATTAGCATTTTGTTCATTGTAAATACGTAGTACATGCACTCTGGTTGTGGTAGTCCCTTTTTCGGTGAAAAATCCTCTGCGATACGTCTAATTAAAGCGGTCGCATTTCGCATATTAATCAATTTCGTAATCGACTTGCCTAAAAAAAAATTTTAATTCGACATTTTTGTTCGGAAGCCTCTGTTCGAATATAAAATTTTCGGTATGCCGCAGGAGATGAATTAGTGCGGATTAATAATTCGAAACGAAGGGAAAACAATTTTTATGAATAGAGTAAAATTTCCGAATGTGTACCTATGCATTATTAAACCAGTATAACGATAGAACTGCATTTCGCGAAAAATTCAACAGATTTACAAAAAAAACCGGTATAGGTATCTATTCGATCGATCCCTTTTAAATAATGAAATTTTCCGAATAACGCGATCCTTGTGATAAAAAAGAGTTTTTATGTTTTAATTAGTAGGTATATCCGTTTCTATCGAGATTTTTTATTTCGAATTATGCGATGTTGAAACCATTATTTGCAAATCCAGAAATTCAATTATATTCACTGCATATTATTTTTTTTTACCAACAAACTTTTATATTTTAATCCAGTTAATAAACTAAAAAAATAGTCATTATACTAGATTAATCACCGTTTAATACACCGCAGCTATTTACAAAAGAATATCAAAATTTACCTAATCAAACTTTTCACGCTATACACGCGTTAAAAACCAATAACATTTCGTTCGGCAAGTTTTCCAGTATAACGCAACTTTTTTACAGCTCCCGTAAAGCAGCATCTCTTCGATCCTCTTGGGGAAAACGGCAGCGCCTCCGCGTCTCCGCGCCCGTATTGTTCCTGCAATTACTGTTATTCCTGCTCGGGTGTAACGTTGTGTTATTGGCTTCGAGAACAAAACGCGCGTTGCTTAAGCGTTATCGCTCCGCGTCGTCGGGCCGTATACACAATGTAATTCCGCGTGTATACGGAAAATAATTATTGCGACTTTGTATGTACGCTATAGGTAATTTAGCGCGCCGCGAATTTCATAGTTTTTGGTATTATTTTAAGAATTTAAATGCAGGTAATTTATATTTAACTTCGATTCGAACGGGAACTTCGAAATTACCAAAGTTTAAAGTTCATAGAGGAACTTGCAAGATTTTACGTAATTATTACGAATTACAGACGAATCAAAGGGAACCTTAATATATAATTGAAGGAATTAAATTTGCACGTTAGGTATAATGTACAAACTTACAAAGTTAGCGAACGATTCTAAAGTATACATGTTAAATATTAGAATTATTTGAGGAATAAAGAATTGGAAAGAGGATTTGAATTGAGCTGTACCTACATATAAAATGAACGAGTATCTATCTGCAGAATAAAACAACGAATCGCGATCTCGATTTCGAGCGAGCAAATATATCTGTACATTTCGAAATTATCCGGATAGGTCCGCGTAACATGTTGTATGTAATCGAAAAATCGAAGCCAAATATACCAATTTAGTTAGATAACAATTTTAACATTCTCCGCATGATGTTTATTACATTTTTACCTAATAGTTATTAACGATATTTTCAACGTGCTCAATTTCATTTTTATATGCGAAACCAATTATTAATTAGCGCTGTTAAAGGGCTAAATTCTAATTAATATTGCCGAATGCACAAATGACTCCGTACTTTGGTTAACATCAAATCAGATCAATGGAGAAATTTAATATCTCTAATTAATACGGTTGATAATCAAATGAATGGAGACCGGGATTCATTAATTACTACCGGAAATCATTTCCATGTTAAACCTTTCGGTATATTCAAAACAACTTTATTAGTAGGAATCGGGTTTTGTAATACGGTTAGTATGTAGGTACATACCTAACGAATATTTCGCAGGAAATTATACGTTTGTTGGATAAATTTCGGGCTTTAATCATTCAAACAAATATTAGCCGTACAAATTCGCAGGAATATCGAAGGATTGAATCGAAAAAAATTATACGCCACTCTTCCCTGTCTGTCGCTGATTAGTGATTAGCAATATCAATTAGCAGGAAAATGTTGATTTATGCATCAATCGCCTGCTTAAAAAGGCATTAGCGTGTTTCCAGACGAATCCGTAAATGTATATACACAGATAGGACAAATAGGACAGATTCGTGTGATTGATGATGATTTATCATCATAGAAAGAAACTTACTAATTGTAAAATAATTGCCTGTACGTTTTAATGTTCATTTTAGTTTGTGAAGTAGTTACTGTTTTATTATTGATATATTTTGATGGATTGTTCAGGGAAAAGTGCTCGGATAAATATATAATTTTAGTAAAGTGAGTTATTATAACTTGTAGGTTTTTATCCAAACATCTAATTGTCCTAATATTCGATTGATTTTTCAATCGTTGTTTCGTTAACGACAATTAAAATAAAATATATTCACTCACCTCTGGTTCCTTACTGAGTTTCTCATGGTGATGACCGGCCTCCTGCAGGGACCTCTTGCGCACGTGCTCGTGCTCGAACAGGTAATAACCGTTCAACGCGCCGATCTGAAACGCAAAATAACAATTTAATTGTAACTAAATATTCAATTATTTATATAGACGGAAAGACGGCGTACGTCAGTCAAACGTTAATAATTTAATTCCTCAAACGCTTGCATTAAAACCAGACGAGCCATATTCCATTCTACCTAACGCCCTGTGAATACTTGATAATCCTAATGCCGTTTTGCACAGAGCCCATTTGGCGTGCTTATTACTGGCAAACTACACTAAAAGCGGGACCTATTCAAATTTAACGGATAAACATACAGGCTGTTTGTATGGGTAATTTCGGCACGACAAACACATCGAACGTATTCCGTTTCGATTAAAATAATTATTGTTTTCCTAACGTAAAAACAACACGCTCTATAGCTAATAACAATTATTGTACCATGTTAAATATTTGATATGTACTCAATATATTACTAATAATTCATGCCAAGAGTGCACCAAACTAAAATACACTCCACGTCCATTTTCCGGTAATCATAAATTATTCTTGAACAATATTAACTCTCACGTTTAAACTATACCGGTGTCGGTTATTAGGGAAAATGCAAAGTGAGAGAAAAAGAGTGTATATCTGACTTGTTGAATATTTTAGAATAATTTCAACAGCTAGAACTGTCTATCATATAGATCATATAGAATCCTTTTAGAACTACTTATGACTGTTGGGTATGTGAAGCGCTATGTACACGATAGATATGTCTAGATGGTATACATAAACACACACACATCATCTCATTTATTGATGAGTAAATACGTTCGGTTCCGGCGTTTAATCTCAGCAATCACATCAAGCATATAGTCCCGATAGCATCCGTTCGGTAATCGCGCAAATTGCCGCCCAGGACTACGTTCTAGGACTGTGCAAATTGCCGCTAGGACTGTGACCTCGTCATCTTCTGAACGACACCTGTCTAACGTTAATCCGATAGCGCCTTGATTATGCTAATAGACGCAGCGCGTCCGATAAGCAATTATTGTTATCGAAATGTACACGGTAAACGTATAGATAGTATCGAAAACTGACGGGACATGCAGGATTTAGGTGCAACGCCTAATCCCCCTATTCCCGGTTCTAATTGGTTGCGGCAATGTTAATCAGGCATTAACCGGGGATTCGTATCATTAAAATATATTTTTCATCTCTCCAACGTCTTTAAACGACGTGTAATTTTATTAGTGGTAATCTTGCGATGCGAAATTACGCGAAAAAGCGATTTTATTTCTATTTGGCTTATCGAAAATTCGAATTGAATGCGAACATAAATGCGACTATCCTATCTATGGTCTCATCATAAATATCGAATAAATATTTTGACAGTGAACTTTAGTACGTTGTAAAATATGAACAAATAAAAGTTTTTATTTTGTGTTACGTCAATTTCGACTGTTACTGATGTATTGGGGAATTTGACGAGACGGGAAAGCGATAGAAAAACTTTTGAATGAAATAAAAGTTTTTTTTTGGCTTCTTCGACTGCTGGTAGGAGATACTGATATGCTGTCTTTGTTGGAGTTTCATGTTCACATTGAAATATAGGATGTGATTGACAGGTGGGGTAGGTATTAGACGTATCCACCCAAAAAATAACAAAAAAAACATCAATCATATATTTTTGTTTATCTTTTCATAAGCGAGAATGTTTAATAATACAAAATGCGAGGCAGCCGTTTTTTTTTATTTCAATTTTAAATTCAATAATTCATTTCATATAATTAATAAAATTCATAAATAATCAACAAAACAACGAACATTGAACTGAAAATGTTTTTTATCGTGAGAATATAATAACAGTGTTTATTGTTACCGAGTTCCCTATTTCAGTTTTCAATATGTTATAAAATAAATAGCAAAATTTATGAAAACGTATAATAGTTAATACAGCATAATAGCCGGCGAGTATGAATTTAGAAATCCCAGGCTAACATATCCGCAAATAGCAATTTTTCTATCTGGTGTAATTAGCGAGTTAAATATTTACCGAACGAGTCCGAAAATAAACACAATAAACGAGAACGGTATAATATATAATAATTGTATTTCGTATTTACATTAACTAACACTGCTGTTCAATGATCGAATATTTCTCAATAAAGTGATGTTTATCAACGATATGAATTATATAACAGGCGTAAACAAAACCACAGGAATTTTCTTCACTTACATCGTATTTTTACTAATATGCAATCAATTTACACGCGCCATTAATTCACATTAGTGCGGCAATAATCAATTTGATTTCCACAAGTAAATTGGAAATATCTAAGTCTTTCTGAAAAATCGCACGCATCAAAGTCGAATTCCCATTTCATCAAAACGGATTAATATCCTCGCCGATAAATCAATCTATAAATACGGATTGAAACATTGGGGAAATATTCATGTATCTTTTTTTTTGATTTATTACGACGGGTGCGAGAGGTATCATACGGACAGTATAATGTAAAATTGATGCCTTTGCCCTTTCGTTTTTTTTTTTCTATTTCCCAGAAAAATTCGATAGCAAATGAATTGATTACTTCGGCATTCGGGAAAAAATTACTAGTACCTAATTAAATGTTGCTGGATTCGAAATTTTACGAACGGTGATTGAATATCCCGTGTATAATCAAAAACGCCAATTTGTAATTATATTTAATAAAACCATCAATATTCGAGTTATTTCATTTTATCGAAATCTCTTAATCTAGCTTATCTCGCGATGTAAATTAATTGCCGTTTCGAAACAGATTTATGGTAGTTAATCTTTCCAAACGAACAACAAAACAAACAACAAAACATCGACAGATAAATTCAAAGAAAACAACAAACTTCAACAAAGTATAGTTGTTTCGAATTTCCTTTGCAAGCGCGTAAAAACGACTCCTAGAAGCTCATATAAGAAGGGTAATAAACTAACCCGAAATACGTAGATTTTCGTTACCACATCGACAACACTGCAAATTTCATAATTAATCTTTTATGCACAATGTATAATAATTACGACCATAAATTTGATGATCTATTTTATGCCCTTTTTATAGTAACAACGCATCGCCATTACGCCGTAATTTTGCGATATAAAGTTATTAAACAACGTGCAAAGAATCCGAGCCCAGACGCAAACCCGCGCGTCTTCGCAATTACATTACCATCCCTGCTCTCAGCCGATAGAGAGATGCTCATGCAAAACGCGACAAAGCGAACGTCGCTGTTGACAACGACAATAACACGTTTTCTCGTCGTCAATAAAAGAAGCCGAAAAGCTTATTTGTTTGCCAAACATGTTCGCCTCGGGCGCTTCCAAGCACCGCCGCCATTGTAGGGAATCGCGAAGACACAGGAGCCCCACGAAGAGGGCATACACACACAGAGACACGGTTTCGTTCGAATGCCACTGTCAACATTGCCGGAGCTGCGACAGAGACCGCTCCGGGGTGTGTGTTCTGCGATATAAACCGGAACGAGGGTTCGATTCGATGAACGCGGTGTGGTCAGAAACCCAGAAAAAATTCAGAATTTTTACAGAGCTGTATTAGGAGTAGGTATAGGAGTAAAAGTAAGAGTAATAGTAGGTACAGGAGCAAGAATAGGAGTAGGAATAGCAATAGAAATAAGAACCAGAATCTGAAGTAAGAGTTATAGGAGTTAAGGTATTAGAGTAAAGAATAGGAGCAAGAGTAGTACAATTTCTCTTCAATACTAGTATAATTTTTAGATTTTATTGAGAGTAGTCTCAAGCATTGGGTGCAAATTGTAGCATAGACGAAATCAAAATAAGCGAAACAATCTGTTAGAATTTTATAACAAACTTTCAGGTGCAATTTTAGAAGAAAAAAAAAAAGAACTATTCATCTTATTTTTTGATGCAACATTTCTGACGAATTTCGAGAAGAACTTCCGGCCCGCAGGAACGAAATTGACCAACTTTTTTTATTACCTACCGAATTCGTTTTAGTAGTTTTCCTTTTGTAAGTTAGATTGTTCAGTCGACAAAAATAAATCTGCTATAGGGACTTTCGGGGTATCCGAATAATGAACTGTTCATCATTTACCGAAGTATCCGTCCAACGTGGAGTGCAATTAAACTTTTTACGAGTCGACCGGAGTTATAAACTCGACAAAAATGGCTCATTTTCGTGTTTACGCCCTTATATACATCACGAGTTATTATATTAAATTACGACTTTTTCGCAATGTAAGGAAAATAAACAACCGTTCCGCTAAGATCTAATCATTATTACATCAATTGTAAATACATTATACACAATATATAGCGATAAATCTGTTACTTTTTCGCATCTACTTATAGTTTATCGACAAAAGCCCATACCATAATTCGCGTAAAATTTTCGTTAATTTAATAAAACGAGCATCGGGAGCCGTATAATTCGCGCCCATCAGAAACGGGGTAAAGTTACGAAGTGTCATGTTTATCTTTAAACTCGCCGCCCCCTCCGGGCCGTTCCCGGCAGTTTCGCGCTCCGCCAAACTTTCCGGGGCACATCTCGCGCACACCTTTTATCGTCGTTCGCGCGAAAATAAAAAAAAAAACGCGTCCCCGACGCGCGAATGACTTATGACGTTTTGATGGGCGATAATATGTTTACGGAATGGCAACTTTTGATGGAGGCGACGCGGCGTAAGATACGGCGGAAACTTCGCGAGCGCCGCGACGCCGCCGAAGAAAGACGTTAAGTTTCGATGTATAAAAGTTTTAAGCTTCGCTACGGACCGAGGAAAAAAAATTGAGCATTAAATCCGATGTACCCGGGGTAATTACCGTATAAGCAAAAAAAAAAGAAGAATTTTCACTCGTTATATATAAAGCGTGTAGTGAACTTATTGATGAAAATATTATATTCAAAGTTGCGCGATATTGCAACGAAAATTCCCACTTACAATTTATGCATAATGCAAGTTGCATGTTGTCCATTCGATATATGCAAATTTCCTTTTCAACCTCCTTTATTCAATGGCGACGTTGATATGGTAATCAATCTTTATACCTTAC